CTACCAGTGCACTAAAATAAATCTACCAGTGCACTAAAATAAATCTACCAGTGCACTAAAATAACTTGAGCTTCAGCTGAAACACAAGGAGTGCAATGATGGAATTGAACCAGAGATCTGGAAAGATCTTCATGGTTCAGCGCACACACAGTGGTTACTCTCACTTTAGCCGACATAACTTATCCGCTCTCATGTATTCTGCTCTTACCTTTCACCTGCTGTGAGAGCCGGTAAGTACTTCTCGCATTCACTTGGTTCTGCATCATCATCCAAGATATACTGGTACTGCCTACAAAACATGTAAATTCAGAGCTAACATAATGGTCATTTAATGACTTAATACCTATTCCAAAGTTTGCACTAATTTTTAAATAGTGCAAAGTTTGTTTTACACTTTTTTAGGCCCTCTGGCTACTTTTTTTTCAGAACTCATCAACAGTTGGTGATAGCAATTTCAAAAGTTTAGAGCTGTGAACTGAAAATGGTCTCTCATCATAGGTCTTTCATGAGACAGTTTCATTCAATGAATTTAAATGAAGGCAAACTACATCGGTTGATTATCTATCTGGTTATTGATGATATAATATCATCAATAATATATGATATGATATAATATCTTAGGATTCCAGCATACAATAGGTATTGGAACCTGTATTAGAATTATAATATACAGACACAAATCAAAACATGTGGATAGAAGCTAATATACCTTTAGGAATTTGAGCCAGATAAAGTTGCTGATGCTTATTGGCATCATGTCATTATACCAGTATACACCTTATAAGCCAATTCATAGTTAGAAACGCGCATGCTCGTATCAAGGTCAATCGACATATTGACCTCAATTGACCTTGGATACGCGTATTCAACCATGAATTGGCTTATTGGACCAAACAGTATTTCTGTTGACAAATTGAAAAGTAATTAGTATCCAGGAAATTAAAAGATGGTGTTAACTTACAACTCCAATTCACATGCATTCAGATTGTAGCCATTGACTTGGAAAAGTAACTTGTAAAAACGTCCCTTGTGGTACACTGCAACGTGTCTAGATGTCTGATAGGTGACCACTTTGTCAGATTCAAGGCCTGGAATTCTAGTAGTGTTGAAAAGTCTCTCATATTGCCAAGAGCATAGAGGCACAAGCTTCTGTACCATGATTGGATCTAAAGTTTCTTGGGCTATTTCACGACGGAACTTGAGGCAAGCAAATGTCATGTTGGCAGCCCTTGCTGCCTGAAAGCTGGAGCTTTGCCACATAATGGTGTCCTATATTATTACAATTACATAAACACATAAATAATAATAAATAATAATAATATGTTAGACTTCGCAATATTATCTACAGTCATTGGACTAAGCACATATGGGAGGAACACATACTCAGCTCCCTGGGGTGAATTCCATAATGCTGCAGCTAATCAGCACATTTTGTGTTTGAAACTACTAGTACCCAATTGTACTCTTTGATGGAAAGATACAACCATAGTAGGTAAAGTGCCTGCAAAATGCGCAGCGAGGGATTGAGCCTCTGACGTCAAAACAAATCTTTTTACTAAGTATATAAAATTTTATGTTATAAAGTAAAGGATTATTTCCATAAAACCCCTACACTGTGCAACTGCACCCAATGCGATTAGGAACACTTCATATTTAATCAACCAATACAAGTAGCATAACCAACAACTGATGGCAATAGCATGTAGCTATTTTATGAAAACTAGGCTCAATAAGATTTAGTTACTATGGCACAAGATATTACAGTACTATTCAGAAGCAGCACAGTGGCATATTCCACCTTTGATACTCTAGGCATCACAGTGAATTTTAATATTTTTTTGGTGCAATACAAATTGTGGCTTTCCTTATTGCCAAAATCAATAAATAAAAAAATAAAATAAAATTAATAAAAAAATATAATGTACATATTTAGCTGTTGTATGATGTATACATACAAGGACATGTTATTAATCAATACATTGAAGTGGTGATATTTGTATGTACAAAAACAAATTATCTTATTTTTAATCATACTTTTTATTGTTACTTACAAGTCCATAATAATTGCTGTTGACCATGAGTGGAGAGCGCCCTCTAAGATATACATATTCTTCCCACCAATCGCTGACGTAGTTAGAAGAGAACCACCATTTGAGGTAGAGGTAGCGTTGCAATCGCATTCCGAGGTTCTTTTTAAAGTCACTAGCAAGTCTCTCCATTCTGTTGTACTTTTCATCATCCATAAATGGACGCACTGATCGTAAATACTGTAAATAAATATCATATTGGCTACGGTCAGACTTGGAGATAAGCCAGGCATACGTTGAGCCCAGCTCAAGGTTAAGCCCGACTTAACTTTGCCGGGCGTTCAGACTTAAGCCTTGTTCGCACTGGATTTAAAAAATGGTAAATTTAACCAGGGTAACTTTAACCAAAGTCATGGGTAAATTTCACTATTGTTCGCACTTGGATTATTCATGCCGTTAGTTTTACCATAGTTTTACCAAGATTTAACCTTGTGTATAAAAAATATTATTGAGGGTGCTAGTTTGTGACTTCAAATTCTGGTTTTGTTCGAGCGGTGTCATCTTGGAAGAAATTTTAACCGTGTTGCACGCTCGGATTGGACTTCTTGACCAGCGTGGTTAGTTTAACCGAGACCGTGGTAAGTTTTACTGGGCA